CATCATATGTCATGGAATATCCCTTTGGTCAGTTGGCATCAGCTGTCCCATCTGTGTCCCCTCCCAACTTCTTATGCACCCCCAGCCTGCTCGCTGGTGGGGCGGTGTGGGGAGCAGAAAAGGCCTTGACGCTGTGTAAGCACTGCTCAGCAGTAACTAAAACATCCCTGTGTTACCAACACTGTTTTCGGAGCCAATCCAAAACACAGACCCATACTAACTACTATGAAGAAAATGAATTTTATCCCAGCCAAAACCAGTACAATGAGGGGAGCAGGAGAATTGGGATCGAGCCAGACATTTCCTGGCTATTTGTCATCTTCAGCATACATAGCAGCCATCACTTTAACAGCGTCTATTTGAGTTGACCTTAAGTAGATGAACCCTACGCATGTGGGCATTGGATATGATCTGAGGCTGCAGTTTTCCTTCTTAGAACTCATTTTGATTTTTCTAGCTGTGGACATCACCTTTTATACATCATGTTATCTTTCATAACTGTTTTTTTGTATCATCTTGTTCTTGCACATCTTATCTGCTGACTTCTTCAATACTGCTTGCAAGTAGCTTTCTAACAACCAGCACAAGTCTGCTTTCCCCTTTCCTCTCTCCCAGCTTATTAGAAGCTTTCCATTGTTCTTATTCATCCCAAAATTTCACTGGCATCAGTGCAATGTTCTATCCATGAAAAATCCTGCTTAGGATTTCTCCATTCCTCTTTTATAAATTTATCAGCTAGCTTTTTTGCAGCCTTTGTTAACACTCACAAAGTTTTGTATCCTCTAAACAGTAAGGAGACTGTCTGCAGACAGTCTTTTCACTACCCTTCCTTACTCACAGTGCAAGTGACCTCTCTTAGGCTCTTATTTATGACTAAAGTGCTAAATCAGAATTCCCAGTATTGTTGAATTTTTACTAAATAACATTCACCCTATTGTGTCACAGACTATCATGGCCATGATGCCAGTTAGTGTCAAGAGTCCACCACTCTCCTGACCAGATTCTCTTACATATTGCACACAAGGAGGGTTTAATGTTTTAAGAACCTTTTTTTTTTTAACTTTTTTTTTTTTTTACATTGCATAGTTTTTGATTTAGCAGAATGTTACAACTGTAAAATGACCAGTACCTAGCAGAATATAATAATTGCAATATACTATTATATCTCAATACAAACATACATATGTTTACTGGTTTCTATAACATGCTTACCGTCACAGCACTGGGTGTCCCCAGTTACTGGGAAGGAATACATGGGTTGAAGCGAGCTCAAGACTGTTGCTCTTCTCAAAGCTCTTTTTGTTCATTGTTCTGTTTTTATATGCTCTGTTAGGCTGAGATGTGTATATACTTCCCCAGTGCTGGTCTGTCTTACTCTGGAAGTCATGTATTTGCACCCTTTTGATTAATTCAAGGGTGAAAAGTTACACAGCCGGTTGATTCACTAAACTGTTGTAGCTGATTGATCATCTCAACTGTTATAGCCATTTTCCTAGAACAAAGACCACACAGGTCCCTGTTAAGTTCAGTTTTCTTTTTAACAGTTGTGGTCAGTCCCTCCTTCTGTTCATCCCTGAGCTTCATGAGCATGTAGCCTGTATCTGTCTCTGCAGAGCCTTTAGTAGTTCATTGATCAGTCATAACATGAAGTATTTGGATTCTTTACATTTTAGCATTCAAAAGGAAGACTTTTGTATAAGGTGGCTTTTTTGGCACTGTATACACACTTTGTTTTTCAATAATTCTATCATCATTTATATTGTAGGTCATGCAGGAGTGTCTGCCAGCATGATGAAGAAAAGAACTTCCCACAAGTAAGTTGTTATATTTTTACTAAAGTATAGCTCTCAGTAACTGGAAGTACTGTTCTAGAAATATATCTGTATTGTTCCACTCACTTTGTTCTTGAAAATCATGTGGAGTAATATTCAGTCTGTCTACATGTGTAGAGTCAGACTTTTAATTCTTTCAAGACGGTGATAGGAAAGAATGCCCCACAAATAGAGTTTTAAACATCGTTTTGACTGTTAATAGAAAATTATCCTTGAATACAATTTTGTAATTCTTTCTGGAATTCAGAGGGAAGGAGTTGTGAGCCAGAAATTAGCCACCTATACTGTAGGATCTCAGTTCTCTGGCACAGAGTACGTGCATTGTCACCAAGCCAATAAAAACTGCAGAGTATGCTTACTGATAACTCCGCTTGGAAATAATCTTAGAAATACCTAATCTTGCATTCACTACAACTGTAGTTTTGAAAAGGATTTTTCAGCTTTCTGAAGTAAAGAATATACTGAAATACTTCTGTAGGGAGGCTGCTATTTGTGTGTGAAGGATATGTGCTTATCCTGCACATTCATGGCATGTATTTTTCCCTCTACAACATTTCTAAGTAGTAGCAGCTGAACATTGGTGAGTACCTGTGTGAAAATAGAGGTAATGTTCTGGGCATAATTGGTCTTAGTGTCAAACAGCAAGATATCATATCTAGCTACATCTCTGGTGGGAGAAATCTAAGCTGGGTAAGTGTGAAACTTATTAAAATGTTACTAGCTGTATTTTAAGTGTAAAGTTGTATACTGGTGCATCAATCAAAAGCAATTTGTTCAGATTTATTTGTCTAGAGACAGGTAGAGTTAAAATTTAATTTCTCTTGTTCTCTTTCAACCGCTCAGAGAAAGGAGTGTATGATGGGAAGACTATCAGAGGTGGGTTGCCTTTTGTACTTGAGGGTGGCTAGATTTGTCTTTATTGTTGTGGTTATATACACTTATTTAAATACCTAAATAGGCTTTAAATTTGTTAGCATAAAAGCTTTTATGGGGCATAAGAAGTTTTGATCCCAAGTGACATGATTTTGAGGCATTTAACTTAAGCATCCAGCTTAGTTTTATGTTAATTTAGCCTAGTTCGATTGTTTATTAATTATTTAGTGAAGGGTTTTTGTACCAAACCAAGATGATTTCTTGAGTGCTGCTCCCTGGCTTGTCTGAGAATGAGGCAGAGTAGTAGACCATACTAGTTTACCATAAACAAGTAGGATATGAATGACCATGTAATAATATATGCTGATACTACTACTCTGAGTTGTTACGGTAGATTATGAGTTAGTAATGCATACTTTGTCACTGATTTAGTTATTTATTTAGTTACTCGTCATTTAAAGAAAAAGAGGAACAAGCCCACTGGCACTCGAAGGCCATCGAGGAGATTTTAAACTAGCTTCAGAAGGTTTGTGGCAGAGGAAGGAGCCAAAAGCACGGAACAGGGCATGACTCAGTAATTGAGGATGTGATAGAATGAGCAGTGTGGATAAGTCTTCTGCACTCTTCTTTACTAAATGGTAGTTATCTGTTGAGCCTTTTGGAAAGGGTTCCCGTGGGTATAGGGCAGTTCTTCCAAGTGCTCTGTCAATGGGTAGTGGTAATCTCTGCCAATACGAAGCTGACCTCACTGGCATCAGATCAGTCAGTAATCTCCCAGATCTCATTCTTTCCACCCTTGGTGCATAAAGAAAGAGTACAAGAAATAGTGTAAGTATAAAACAATCTTTTCTTCATAGGCTCCCCAGATTTCTTGTAGTTGGGAATTCAAGGACTTCGAGGCGCAGGTTATACCTGCAATATAACTGCAAGTGAACTTAACCATTTCGAATTTCTGGTCAACCATTTTGAATTTAAGCTAACTTGTAGTCTTGGTTCCTGCAGCATCTGAAGATGAAATTCACAACTGTATGATTGCTTTTGAGGGATTGCAGAAAGTACTTTAAAACTTTTGCCTCAACTAATGTGCCTCATAGTCTGAATATTATGAAAAGTAGTTAATTACAATTCTCTCATCATCGTTCTGCTATTAATGATAGTCTGTATAAGATCACAATTGTAATAAGTTTTGGGTCCTATTTTTAATAATTTTTCTGCTTGGCACCATAAAAGACTTGAAATTGTACTGGCCATTGCTGCTGTACTACATTTATACTGTTTGATATTGTTCCTTCCTGTTTTTCACGGTTGTGTCTTTTTTCACACCTGAGGGGTATGGTTTTCTTTCACCCTTCTGTTTTTTTCCTTAGTTCTACCCTGTGGTGTTTTTCTGAGATGAGATGATCAGGGGGGAGAAAAAACCCCAAACCCTAATTAGATAACTTTGTTTGGTAGGATTATCGGGAATTGCCATTCTCCTTTTTATGAATGCTAGTTTGTCTTTTAAGCACAACCCTGCAGTAACGGTTGATTTTTCTGCTACCAGTCCTTTGCAGTTCTGCACTACATTGGTTTCCCTGGTAGCAGCTGCCAAATAAAAGTTTGTTTGAGGACCATATAAATACAACTTTAAAATCTGGGAAGATATCTTTCTGCCTGTGTAGTCTCTAGAAAGTTTTTAAAGTATCCAGTTCTGATAATGAAACCTTCTCACATAACTAGGTTCTACTTACCAGCTTACTGCCTTCAAGATAAGGAAGAGGATCTGAAACTTTTGGGGATTGAAGGGCCATTTACAATGAGGATGTGTCTGATGTGGCAAGAGCTATTTCCAGGACTTGCTGTTTTCTGTTTTTCCTGGCCTCATGTTTAACGTGTCTAGGAAAATTGTTATCCAGTCTTCAAGAGCAAATCTTTGTGGAATTTTAAAGATAATTCTAATGAAACAGAAGGAAAAAACTGTGTTGGGCCTTCTGGATATAGCATCGTAGAATCTTTATGTACAATTGTATTACTTGGTGTACCACAGAAATACACTGTTGAGGAAATGAGAGGTTTGAGTTGGTTATTTGGTTGTCTTACATGGAACTATATTCATAGCTATTATTTATTTATGTGTGCTTTCTTACCACATGTTCAGATGCAAGAAGAAGTAGGTTTTCCATGGTAAAAGTTAGGAATATAAAAGCTGCAGTTTGATCATACTGAAAAGGTCAAATGATAACAAAAGTGAAATTTGACAAAACCCCCTGCGAAGATCTTTATGGTGAATTAAAGTTTGGAGGTGGGACAAGCTGCTGAAGCAATCACACATCTTGGTTTTAATAGTTATGTTACATCTTCAGCATTATGCATTCCAGTGTCATGTAGTGAGTGCGTTATTCTGCAAGACTGCTTCCAGGACTTCAGTGGAATGATTATTGTTTGTCTTTTTTTGGATCATATAGGGACTTCTCTGAGAACATTCATCGTTCCTGCAGACATTTCTCTTTGGTCATTATCTCTAAGGAAGAATATTGTTTTCTGGAACTGATTTTCTCTTTCAGACGTTGCTTTTAAGCATGCTAATGGTGTACATATTGCCACTTAAATGGCATATGCTGCAAGTAGCAACGCAAAAATTTATTTTACAACTAGTTGACATTGATGAGAATTTTGATAAATAATCTTTTTAGGAATGAATAAGTGCATGGTAACATGCTAGAATAGATATCATATTCATTTCTTATCACTAATATACTGTCATAATGTTCCTTAGTTTCTTCCATTTGTATTCAAAACTGTTAACTAGTGTTTTTAATAACTGGCTAGAACAAGACGTGTATAACACTTTCAGTGATTTGAAACTGTCAAATACCTTACATGACTGTTGATCAGAACAACTGTTATTCACCAGACGGAATTTCCATGCAACTTCCATGAAAGTAGAGGCAGGACAAAAAAGTACATGTAATCTGTTTTCCACAGTAATAAGTACCCCTTCTATTGCCATTACCATTACATATCACTTTTATTTTGCTATACTAAAAAGGAATGCTGGAGAAGTGTTGTTGCTACCATGTGTCTTTAAAAATACTTGGAGTCAAAAACATCTGTAAATGCAGAAGGAAGCTTAAATTTCCTTCAGGTGAATAAAGAGGTTAGGGAAAACAAATGCCTTGGAAGAATTTTAGTCAGCCACCAGGAGTGTTTGCAGTGACTTCTTTCTCCTGGGGCAGGAGTTGTGTTTACCATTCTGCAGAGAGCAACAAGGTAGTGAAGTTATAATACTGCCAGGTAACTTTGTGCTTTGAGACCTGATCAGGTGAGTTTTACTTTTGACATTCAGTGTAGCAAGGGCTAAAATAGTTATTTTGGCTTAAGCAAACTAGTTTCAGAAATTACTATTAGGAAACTGACCTTATAAAGCACATCAAAAATGTTTCACTGCTTTTCAGTGTGGTTTTCTTTTTTCCAATGTAGTGTAATGTGCTTTATACCCTAGTTCAAATAAGGTGAACTAAGCTATAAAATACATTGCCATCTTAAAGCATACAGCTCTTGTCTGGAGTAGAATTTTGAATGTGTATGTACTTGTTTAATATTACATTTGTATCTGTGTACAGAAAGCATAGAAACAATGTGGGACCAAGCAAACCTATTTCTCAGCCACGAAGAAATATTGTAGGCTGCAGAATACAGCATGGATGGAAAGAAGGGAGTGGACCTGTAACACAATGGAAGGGCACAGTTCTTGATCAAGTTCCTGTAAATCCCTCTCTCTATCTTATAAAGTATGATGGATTTGACTGTGTGTATGGACTAGAACTGCACAAAGATGAAAGAGTTTCAGCACTTGAAGTTCTTCCGGACAGAGTTGGTAAGTGTTTTGGATTTTTATCCTAAATTCGCATACATATAAGCTGACATTCACTATTAAATGTTCTCCACTAATCTCTCCGGACTTCCCCCAAGATAACATCTGACCACTTAAATGTTACTAGTCAAATTCATTTTTGTCACATGGCAGGTAATCTAAATGCTCTATTTAAATTTTCTTGATTCCACAAAGATTTGATAATACCAGTGAGTGCAGTGTTGTCTTCTGTCTTTAAGTAGTATGCAGTACATTCTGTAGATTTGTTTAGACTCTTATCCCTAAGAACCATATGGAAAGTTAACATTGATATTTCTGTTAAAATTTGAACTCTAAGCCATCTTGGCTGTGTTGTCTGTGTCTGACAGTAATAATGTCACATTTTTCCTCATGTACTTTGTCTAAGTACTTTTAATAATGAGGGGAAGAGGCATTTTCTAAGGCAAATAACTTGATTGGTAACAAGGCTTTTTGATTTTCAAAATTACCACTGGATTGTTAAACTGCAGGTTTTTCAAACTGCAAAGTTCAATATTTACCCAAGTAATTACTAGTTTATAAACAGAGGAAGCTGTTGCTTCTTCTGACTGCAAAGCAATTGGTGTCTAGACTGTCTAGCAGTGTCTAGAGTGGCGTTAGGGGGAACCAAACCTCAAAGTTTCATTAATAACTTCATAGAACTGTTCTGTGATTGGCCTCTCTTCCTCTTCTCCCCGCCTGCCTCGCTCCCTCCAGTGTCTAGTTAAAATACAAAGAGTCTTCCCTGCTGTGGCCTAGATTGATCTCCCTTTACCTTGCATTATGATTGTTTAATCATAGGGATTACGATGATGTATTGTTATTTTAACAACATTTCTAAAGTTCTGCAGTTCTTCAGTAGTAGACTCTCTGGAATGGACAGTGTTTGGTTTGTATGTGAATTGACTAACTTCCAATCAAATTTGTTTATCAATCGGGGTAAAGATTGTTTTTCATAAAGACATATGTCTGTACTTTTGAATGAACTTATGAAATGCTGTCATTTCAGCTTCATCTCGAATTAGTGATGCCCACCTGGCAGACACAATGATTGGTAAAGCTGTGGAACACATGTTTGAGACAGAAGATGGCTCAAAAGATGAATGGAGGGGGATGGTTTTGGCTCGAGCTCCTATTATGAACACATGGTTTTATATTACCTACGAGAAAGATCCCGTCTTGTACATGTACCAGCTCTTAGATGATTATAAAGAAGGTGACCTTCGCATTATGCCTGATTCAAGTAAGTAGGCCAGTTACTGTTTTCTCCTGGACGGTGGCAGTTTTTTATATTAACATTTGCCTGTGGTTTATTTATGGACAGGAGAGTTGACAAACAAAGATCTTGCTTGTTACTCCCTTTAATTTTACTGGTTTTTTTAAGTATCACAACTAGGAAATGTTCTAGCACAACAAAGAACATCTGTATTAACTGCTGAATACTTTACTTTTATCAACAGTGACATAGGCAGGAAAAGCATTTTCCATAATTATTCCTAATTCTGCTGAAAATATGTATGTACTACTGTGGAGGAGTTTATGCTTGGATTTTTTAAGTATAAACTGACAAACCAGAAGTTTTCCACTCTTGTTTTCTTACAGAAGTATCACAGCTTGTTGAGATGGCTCTTCATTTGTGTTTCTGAAGCAGTTCTTGTGGGAATAATATTTTGGGGTCTGCTAATACAGTCAGGTTAATTTTGTTGGGGTAGTTGTCTTCAGTGTGAAAAACTCTTGAGTAGTTTCTTGGGGGAAAGAAGTACTAATGTTTTGAAAATTAGTTTTCTCTCACATGTTGCAACACACTAGCAAGAAAAATATTTCAGTATATTAGGAGGGATATTTTCCCCTCCCTTCTGGAAGTGGAAGTCTTTGGGGCTTTTCCTATTAATACAGAAGGATTTTCACAGAATCAATATTGTTCAAGAGATTTGGATAAAAAGAGGAAAAAAACTTGTAAAGAATACTTAGGTTTTATTTCTCGCATGTATTTAAAACGCACTTCTCTGACAGAGGCAATCTGAGCTTTAAAGAAAATTAATAATTGGGATAACTGTAGTGGTTGGCTACATAGTGCTTTACATAAGTATTAGTTACAATTAATTTGTTGAGTTTGAAACTGTCTTCCTTCAGATCTAGCACTGATAACAGCCTGCTGGCTAAATAAACAAGTGGCACTTATTTAAATAACGTCTGTGATAATCTGTTTAGATTTTTTTTGCCTTCCACTCTAACAAAAAGCCATGTATTTGCTTGTAAAGAGTGACCCACAAATGTTAATGGAAAAACGTAACCTTCTTCTTCCTAAAGAAATAAAGCAAGCTCCTTCAGATTTAAACCTTCAAATAATTTGTTCTTTGTCTTAACTATTAAAAAGGACTTGGAATGTATTTTATTTCTGCTTTGCTTTCTT